CGAGCGTCTAGCCACTGCACCATGGCAGCTCAGACATAGTAAGCAACTAGACACGCACACACATCTTTGTTCGTTGGAAATAGTGTTTGCTTTTATTGTTTTGCAAGGAACAGATAGATGCCTGCGTTAAACAGGACTTTTTCTTCTTGTTCTGTGTTTGACATTAGTCATGCCAAACGTTGAGTCCCGTCTGGGTCACAAATAGGATTGTGCGTTTAAGGTCGCCACCTGATAACAATGCAACTAGAATGGCTCTGCACTGGAACCCACAGGGTCATATGAATAAGAGTAGGCCACACACAATAAAAACATGTATCCGGGAAATAAATATGAAGTTGAAAGAATGGAGAGGACATGGGGTGAGCTGCATGCCATGTCAAAGGATAGAATTGGTAGGAGTTGACTGTGGACCTATGCTCCACTGGAGGTTTGGGGGGGGGGGGGGTGGAGAATGGGGCTGTGTCTGTTTACAACATTAGTGTGCATCGAGGAACTTCTGTATCAGCTATGACTGGTAGTGCATGAGACAGAAGGAAGGGAGAGAGAAAGAGAGAGAGAGAGAGAGAGAGAGAGAGAGAGAGAGAGAGAGAGAGAGAGAGAAACAACCTATTAAGTGAACTACTTTTTTCCCTTCTCAGATGCCCATTATGCCTGTGTGTATTCTTGGGCCCCATTTGGGGACAGCAAAGAATAGACCCATCTTCTTCCTTTAACAAGCATTTTGTAAAAGGACAAACTAGGTATTTGCTACCATCGGATGTGTTAGACCAAAAGGTACAGATATCGCATCCTAGCCATAAACCACAACACAATGTGCCAACTGCCCTTTCAAAGAGTGAACGCAGAAAAAGAAAAGAAGATGGAAGTTTAATCTATTACAGTAAGGAAGAATTAGACAACCACATCTACTTACTTTCAACATTATGTTTAAAACACAATATAAAAATAAAAATAAGGAATGAAAATCAGCAATTCACCAAGTTTACACTGATAAAGCCGCATTATTATATGTAGTCGCTATGTAGCTGTGCCACTGTCTGCATTTTTGTACGCTTATTGTGGCTTTTTACTACAACATTCTTCACTGTATCTGTTGTTAGTATGTTTCATTGAGAAGCTGAATAGTTTTACTTCCCGAAAGAGTTGATTTTTCATCACAAAGAAGACAAGATTTTACAAAAAGATAGCAACAAAACTTACCAGTTCCATCTATACTTCACACATAACAAATATTACAATGTAAGTCTTACGATAAATTATAATTAGTATGATGAGTGTTCAGAACCAACATCACAGCACATGGGACAACCCTTTTATGCATTCTCTCCCCTATCTTCAAAAGCTAACAATTCCAATACAGTTGCAGTCAGGTAAGTTAGTAGTATTTGTCATCCAACATCCCCAAGTGGGTTTTCAGAGTCTCATGGAGGAGGGTGGGGGGTGGGGAGAGAACTGCCCACCTAACAGAAATATTATAAAAGGTGACTGACTAATTATTTAATTAGGGACATGACTAATGAGGGGTATGACTAATCAGGGACGTTACTTATTAGGGATATGACTAATTGGGGACGCTTCCTTCAAAGCTGAAGTGCATTTGCCTGAGAGGTGAGACAGCAACAGTCTGCATACAAATAAGCAAGACCTGTAAAATAAATGTGCAAGCAAAACTCAAGATCTAGAACATGATCAAAGTCTGGGAGTGGACAAACAACCATAATTTTCCACTAGAAATTACAGACAGTTAATGCTGAGAAAAAGAAGAAAAGTCTTCCAACAAGTTTCCAAAGTGGGTCTCCATGTCATTTGTCTAGTTCTTAACTCTTTGAGTCCCAGGGGGTTTAGCATCACAGGCCCAGCGGGTAGTAAAGAAAGTAATAAAATCGGCGCATCATGCGTTCATTGGGCTTCTAGGTAGGTACCTAAGAACGTATGATGCGTTCCTTGGGACTCAAAGAGTTGAAGGTTGAGTATTTAGTTTCAGACTTCTTTGTCCCCGCATGGGTTCCGGGGGCCCCATTGTGGGAAAAACAAGAATGCACTCACTGCCTTCTTAACAAGCATGTCGTAAGAGTCGACTAGCCCAGGGCTTCCTTCCAAGTCGGAGTGCATCAGCCTGAGAGGCAAGAAACAACCAACTGCACACACAAATAAGCCAGTAAAACGAATGTACATGCAAAATTGAGGTCCTGGCAGAAATGCAAAGTCCAAATGGACAAATCAGCACTTTTTACCGCAGCTTAGAGCAGGTGAAAAAAGAAGAAAAGAAGATGAAGCTTCTTTGTCGAGTGCAGCTTTTTTCCACAGATCCCAACAGATCACTGTGGAAGCTTAATCACTCTAATTTTTTTTGTGTGCAAGACACACTCTGTGAGTAAATAGCCGCTCTGTCGAGAGAGAGATTGTGTCACATGGGGCAAAATCTTAGTGCCAGAAAGCCGATTCTCTTCACCTTAAATACCCTTCAAACACCAAACATCAAAAAGTTTAACAAATGACATGACAGAGAAAAGCTGCATGAGTGACCAGAAGAGATCATATCAGGAAAGTAGTCATAAGAGAACAAGTCTGTACATAATATGTACTATAAAATACGTACAAAGACAGAGAGGAAAAAAGTTTTGCTAATTTCTTCGCCTTCTCCCATGTTTGTCCTTAAAAAGGTGACTGGCACAATGTGTTGTGGTTTATAGCTAGGGTGCGATATCCTCACCTTTCGACCCAACACATCAAATTTAGGAAAAATCTTAATGAGCCGCTCTTACAACATGCTTAACAGCGGTTAGTGAGTCTGTTCTTTTCACCCAAAATGGGGCCTACATGAGGTAGTTTGCCCATTTTAATTAAGTGAATGCCTTCTAATGTAAAACCATACAAATTGTACACTAAAAGGAGGTAGGACACACAGCCCAAAGTAGGCACATACACACACAAAAGATGTGCATCTGACTTATTTTTGTAACTGACCTAAAACTGTTAGGTCGACCCAATCTAACAAGTGTAGCAGGTAATGTCCTAGGAAACAAAGGTGGCTAGTATGTTGCTGACCAAATCAACTACAGACTAGTCTTTATAAATATGGGTCTAGCACCATATGCTGACAGGCCAATAGTTTAAAAACTACTTAACTTACCAGCTCCTTCAAAAACATTTGCACTGTTGCTTATTCTACAGAAGTTTCATACTTTTACAACCTGATCAGTAAAGATTTGTGAAGAGTTTGCTTGCTTTGAGTTAACCAGCTGTAAACTCTGATGGAAAGTCCTGGTTGTTCGTCCATTTTGGCTTTGTGCAAGGACCTGAGTTATGCATGTACATCCCTTTTTCTGACTTATTTGTGTGCAGAATGGTGTTTCTTCCTTCTCTGGCAGATGTACTTTGACTTCAAATGAGTTGCTGAGGACTGGTTGTTGCTCGGTTTCATAGCAGCTCGTTTAGTCATAAAATGAGTCCGAAAGGCAGGATATTCAAATCTCTTGTCCACAGACACAAGTTTTTAGTCTGACTAAATCAGTTTTTGTCCATTAATGGATATTCAATGTTTTGTTTACACACATACAGTTAGCACTTACACCTTATGTTTGCTGAGGGAGACAGAGCATTTATGGATTTGCCTAGAGTGCTCTGATGTCAAATCTTAAAAGCAAGAAGACATAAGCTTCAACCAGAACAGAAAAATCAATCATATTACCCATGTGGGTTCCGGGGGTGCCATTATGGGGGAAAACGGAATAGACCCACTACCTCCCTAACATGCACATTATAGAAGTCAACAAATTACAGATTTCATTTGAAGTCAGGGTGTATCATGTCTGAGAGGCAAGAAATCAACAGTCTGCATACAAAAATGCCAGATCTGTAAAACAAATGTGCACGCAACACTCAAGTTCTGGAACAAGACTAATTTCCAGAAGTTGACGAACAGCCAGAACTTTCCGCCAAACTTTACGAACAAGAAGAATCAATCATATGTCAGCCCAGAAACTCAGTTCTCTCTCCAACACTAGAAATGCCACAAACAAGTCTCAATGAAACTCTTAGCAATGGTTTCAGTATTTATGAAATAAATGTCTTAACCTTTTGTATTTATCACTTTATAGGCCAGTGCTAATGATAGATGATGACAGCAGTAAAATAGAAGTAAAAGAGATCAAGAATCGTCACAGATATTAGTGACAACTAGAAAGATAAGACATTAAAATAAGAACTGTCAACGGTTATGTACAAAAAATCCCCTGTGTGGCGCAGAGCCCTTGACCAACAATAAAAATTTGAGTCTCAAGAGATGTGGCTGTAGAAGACTGAGCTAAATTTCATAGAAATAAAAAATAAATATAGAGGTGCTGAAGAGACTAGGAATGTAAAGAGAACTGTTGAAAGGAAATAAGAGACAAATGAAATAGTCTGGTCAGATAAAAAATGTAACTCCTTTTAAAAACAATTTTAGATGGAAATTGAGCATAAAATAGACAGTGAAACAAAAAGGATGTTAGTATCAAGAGATGTATATAAACAGCAGTCTGAGAGAGTGTAAACCCAGGGGGAAATTAGCTGTTGGAGATCCTTGCAGCCAACCTTTGCTGTGAGACACACCTGAATGTTTGACTGTTAAAGGACAGTGCTGAACAGAAATGTCTTGAGTCTGAGGATTCAGGTCTATGAGTAACTGTCACCACAAGATGCGCAGGTTAAGATTTTTAATTCTTTTCTTCATCTGCCCTTTATCCCCCAGTGGAGCATAGGGCCTCAGCCAACTCATATCAAGCTGTTCTATCTTTTGCTCTTCCTTGCAACTCAACCTATGTCTACTTAAACTTTTTAAATTTCACTTTCTAGTTCCTATTTCTTTGACCCTGTGGACTCTACTGAAATCTGAAAAGATGTTCTACTTTTGACACCCCCCCCCCTCCCACCCCAACAAAATCACCACTTTAATGAGGATTCACCTGAAGGTGAAATAGCACTCTTATTTCAACAACACTGGTTTAAAAATCACTTACCGCACTGAAATCTAGAAGATCACTTAATTCTTTATCTCCAACATTCATTCTGTCACCAAATGAAACCTGGCCAGGTCTGAAAGAAACAAGAAATAGACAACTGAAATATTTCTACCACATTTAAAATAAAAATTTAATTAAAGAAACACACAAGAACAAAAAGTTTAAGGGTCGAGAGCAAGAGCTGATTGTATCACTGTCTACCTCTTGCTCTCTTGCCTTCAGCTTTCTGTGGCAGGGCTATAAGAGATGGCTGAACAACTGAGTGAGATAACTACTTGATAAAAGGACCGTAAATGATAATGTTTTGGTTATTATTTGTTACCAACCTGTTTCAGCTTATACTTTCCACATATCATTTTTGTCTTAATCTGCTTCTCTTGATGGTAAAATGTGCTTTCCCACACATAATTACTTTACTTTTACCATTCTGTTGATGTTATCTTCTTCTTCTGCATTCACCCTTTAAAATGGTGGTTGGTATGTTGTAGTATACAGCTAGGCTGTGATGTCTCCGCTTTTCAGCCTAACACATCAGCTTTCAACACTCCACTAATTAGTCGTATATTCCCCCGTGTGGGTTCCGGGGCCCCATTGTGGGGAAAACAAGAATAGACCCACTGCCTCCCCAAAAGCATGTTGTAAGAGTCGACTAATTGGGGAGCTTCCTTTGAAGTGGGAGTGCATCTGCCGGAGATTGAACCAACAGTCTGTATTCAAGAGAATGAAATCTGTCCTTTGCACACGCAACACTCAGGTTCTGGAGCAGGACTGCAGTTCAGCAGTGGACGAGCAACCAGAACCTTCCGCCAGAGTTTACAGCTGGTGAACGCGAAGAAGAAGAAGTCGTATTATTAAGTGGGAAGGCATCAAAACATTGATGATCAACTGTCTGTGAGAGAGCTCAACCAAGATAAGAGAAAAAGGCGTGGCTGAAATCTATTGTAGCCATCCCTTACCATGGAGGCAGAACATAACTGATTAATCTTCTTCTTCCCCATATAGATTCTAGGGCCCTATTTTGCAGAAAGCAAGTACAGAACACACTGCCTCCCCAACAAGTATGTCAGAGGAGTTGACTAATTGGGGGCTAATCAGAGTACATCTGCCTCAGAGGCAAGGAACCAAGAGTTTGCACATAAGAATGCCAGATATGAAAGACAAATGTGCACGCAATACTCAGGTTCTGGAAGAAGATTTAAGTCCAGAGATGGACGAAAACCCAAATTTTCTGCCAGTAAACATGAAGAAGATCTAATTTTCTTTTTATATTCTTCAGATTTTAATAAGCAATCATTCAACACTTGCAGTTCTTATCCAACTTCTTTAAAATCGCAACAAAGTTATTGACTTACAACCTGTTTAACATCATTTCATTCTTCTTTTTCTTCAGCATTCTCTGGCAATGTGTGTAATCCCCTCTAAAGTGATATGTGTCAGTCAAGGTCTTTTAAGTTTCGTCAAAGCTTAGCTGTTAGTTGAATAAATCTGTCAAACAGATGTACACATATCACTCAGGTTCTAGTACAGGACTAGAGTCCAGAAGTGGACGAACAACCAGAACTTTCTGCCGGAATTTACGCTGGTAAACACAAAGCAGAATTTTCTTCTCCTTCTTAGTGTTCACAGGCTGTAAACGCTGGTGGAAGGTTCTGGTTGTTCGTCCACTTCAGGACTCTAGTCCTGTTCTAGAAACTGAGTGATATGTGCACATCTTCTTCTTCTTCTTCTTCGCGTTCACCAGCTGTACACTCTGGCGGAAAGTTCTGGTTGTTCGTCCACACCTGGACTGCAGTCCTGCTCCAGAACCTGGGTGTTGCGTGTGCATCAGTTTTACAGATCTGATTCACTTGAATGCAGACTGTTGGTTCCTTGCCTCTCAGGCAGATGCACTCCGACTTCAAAGGAAGCTACCAATTAGTCGACTCTTACGACATGCTTTTTGGTAGGCAGTGAGTCTATTCTTGTTTTCCCCCACAATGGGGCCCCAGATCCCACACGGGGACTGTGCACATCTGTTTGACAGATTTATTCAACTAACAGCCATTTCCAAAATAAAAGGGAGCTGCAATAGATTTCCAATACTGTCTCTTGCCCTGATTATACACCTTCTTAGACTGTTTTTTTTTTTTTTTTTAATCTATTTATTCATGTTTTAACCATTTCATTCATTCAATCAGTCAAGTGAGTTCCAGCCAACAATGGCAACAGACAGTTGAGGTTTTTAATCACCAGGTCAATTTCATGGAAAAGATTAATAGTTTTAATCTCTCAATTTATTGCCAGGATGTAAACGAAGAGTTTTTCTTTTACTCAAGATTGTCTGGTTTACGAAACCATCCTTGAGTGTGTCTTTCAGCGTGTGTGTTTACCGATACTGTGTGATTTGTTTGGGTTTTTCATCACGGTGGAACAGAGGTTGCGCTTCGTACACAAAGCAAACAAACCTAGAAGTTGACAGGGGTCAGCAAAAAAGCAGGTAAGAAGTGCGCTGGAGCCAGAAGTGCACGGCTCAAATGCGCCTGTCCCAGATTCAGCAATATTCGTATTCTGTACTGGAACTGCGCCATCATAAAACAGTGAGGTCCCGTTTTGGAACGCTTGGCATACAATAATATTGTAGCTCTACAGGAGAGGTGTGTGGGCAACAACACAATTTGCACTGACCTGGGTTAAAGTGTTTTTAAGTCCATTTGTTCTCAGTTGGATCTCTGCAGCCCTCTTTCAATAAGTAGTAGATTTTAGATGTAACAGTTGGACTCTGAACGTACAACTATACATCCCAGCCTGCCACAGGGACCTCAATTATCTCCCATGCTGTTCAAGTTTAAAAGAGTGAGAATCACAAGTGAGCAGATCACAGGTTAGGGGAAGAGGCTGTCGTACACTAAACTGATGAGGTGTTAGTGTATCGGCAGTATAAAGACAGAGAGCAAGTTTCTGGAGAATTAGTCAGAACTCAACAGCATAAGCAATTGGTGTGGTGAAGCCTGGGCACTGGACAATCAAACGAAGGCAGGAGTGACTTGGTTCTCCTCTGTAACCATATTGTCAACACCGTAACGTATAGTGTAAGTCTATGCTCAGAGATTGTGGGAAAATACACAAGTAAAGTAGCTGGGGTTACAATTTGATGGTAGTCTGGCTTTATACTGTGCACACAGACCTGGTAATAATAAAAGCCAAGTTGGGCCTGGCTGCAATGTGAGTGATGGCTGCAGCAAACTGTGAGCAGTGTCATTTATATGAGGTTCAGGTCCTTTCTGTCTATGAGTATGTTATGGTGATCCTAATGCTCAGCCATAAGCAAATGGAGAAAGATGGAAAAGATACAGAACAAGGCAACATAGATTTTACTTGGATGCACAAGAGATACAGCATGTAGAGTGATGGGCTACCTCCCTAATTTTTAAACCATGGAGGACAGACTTCATATTTGATATGCAGGTGCTTACCTCAGAATCAAACCAGAAACAAGACACCCGTTGCTTGGTGAAATTAAGAAGAAAAAAGGCAGCAGGTTAAAAATAGGAAAATCGTGGATGGGTCAGGCCAGGGACATTATTTAGCAGGTGTGTTCACTTGAGGACATACAACCTGGTGAGGAACAGGTACAAGTACCACCAGAGTGCTGTATGATCTTTTCTGTTTGCATCAGACTGAATAGAAAATGCAGACAAGAAAGTCCAGCCACTGTTGATGAAGAAGTGCAATCTCTGATTTTCCAGAATTCTCTAAAGAGGGATGCTGTCATATACACAGGTGGGTCTGTAATTCGCCATGTAAGAAGCTCTTTGGCTTTTACGGCTCAGGTTAGAGCTATAATTGTGAAGCAAGATCCTGCTGCCTTGACCACAAGTAGTCTGACTATGGAGGTCTGGCAGTCACCAAAGCAATACCATGCTGGAGACAGACCTTTTCTTGTGCATGCTTTCTCAGTGACTTAGTAGGCTTAGGAAAGGGTTGGGTCAGAGACAGTGGTTAGAATCTCTAAGGCAGGGCAGATACACATCATTTTCATATTATTGCCAGGGCACGCAGATGTGCAAGGAAATGAGCAAGCTGATAGACTTGCAGGTAAAGCTACTGTGGAAGGTGGACGAGCAATGGACTATGCTGATATTCTGAATGCTCTACGAGAAGTAAGAAGTTTGTAAGAACCAAGTGATGACTGTGAATCTAAAACCATGACCAGACTACAAGAACAAGATTTTAAAAGGGGTATGGCTAGACAAAAAAGCAGGAAGCCAAAGAAGAACAAGAAAGCAACACAGAACTGATGTCATGAGCCGCTAAACGCTGTAGGATTTACTAAGGAGGGGATCTGAACACTTATGGACTGAATGGTTTGATATGCAATGAGGATAATCTGTTGAGTAACTAACTACTAACTAATCAATCAAGTGCCGACTCCACAACTGGTGATGATGACTCTGCATTCGATCTCTCACTCTCAATCTCTTTGCCATAGTTTTACATTTCTCTAAAGCAGTTTCATCTACCTCTGTTATCCTCCCATTTGTACCAACTTCATGCTCGCTTACCTTTTCCCTCCACTACAAAAGAATGATTGATTAATCAAACTGACTCACTGTTCACATCCATTCAGAAGAAGCTACATAAATTACTTTCATATTAATCCCTTCACAACTTTTTGCTATGCATCATTAGTTTAATGAAATGGTTAGAGTAGAGTAGTAGCTAGCAGACATATCAATATCAGCTCATCGCCTCCACAACTGCACAGCAGGTCTTCCAACCACTGATTTTGTTTCAGCTCATACAATTACATAAAATACCTCCAACCTTTCCTCGGTATACAGACGTCAAACTAGAGAGGCTAGTTCTATGCTGGTTTACTATTCTTCATTGGGAAACCATTCTTGTGGCTCCGACTTGAACTTTTTGCAGTGTGACTGTGACCAAATTAAAGATGCTACTTCAAACAAAAATGACGTCACTCAGGTCACTGCACTCTGGACAAACACACAGGTACTCATTCTCCCAGTGCAGAGATAACAAGACATACATGTTAATTACCCATCTACTTTGTTAACTACGTATAAATCAGCCTCACCGCTTCTATCCTCTTCTCACCCACTACTACAGAGCCCAAAATCATAAACTAACGTACTAAACGCACACACAGCGCCCGATCTCCCACAAAATGGCGACCCCATCTTCTCATCTCTGCAGTTTTTGCCTCACCTTTCAGGAACTTGATTCCAGTGCTGTGAAACTCCAGGATGTTGTCCTTGGTTTTGCATCCTGGCGAGTTCACAACCTTCTTCTCAGTCTGTGACTAGTATATCCCGGCCACAAAATGTAGAAAAGTGGACAAAGATACGTTTCCAGAGACTAAGAGAATCCCGCACGCATAATTCCAGTCCTTTGTGGTGACGCTTCGTCGCTCAGTTAACAACACATGTACTCATCCGCTTGATAAAACCTTTATTTTTTCTTACATTTAAGCTGCCTTTTCATCAGTTCTGTGATATATTTATTAGATTTGTCAGCTATTTGGATAATTATTTGTGTCTGTGATGAAAAAATTAGTAATTATAAAATTTGTTTGTGTCTTCTGTGTGGCGTACTATTTTCTCTGTGAAGAGGCGTGTGTTTTCGTTTGGTCAGACGACGTAAAAACTTGCACGGAAAGGGAATCGTTAAATTTTTTTAACGAATATAAAAATGAATATAGAGAGGCCCAGAAGAAAATTGTACCTTTTCTAAAACTTCGTGCCCAAGTTAATGCAGTCGAGCATGCCCTGGTTCGACTATCTGTTATTTTTGAAGTTACGACTCCGAGAAGCACAAAGAAGACAGCAATACACACACAAAGATAAAAAATTTGTTCATGCAAACTGGCGTTATTTTATTTTTTTTTGTTGGTCTCATGGCTATTCAACATAGTTTACTCTGGGGCAACTTTTTCGAAATGACAAGCGCCATGGGCCAGAGGCATGAACCCCAGCATAGAAAGATCATTAAAACAATACTAACTGGTCATGATCAGTGGGCCACTTGCCAAGCCTTCGCGGGCCAGATATGGCTCACTGGCCGCCAGTGGAATAGCCCTGGCTCTACATATTTCTGCCTCGTTTACTACTGCTATGTCAACTCTGTGGCTAAGTCGGTGCGAACGCTTCGTAATGCCGGAATGCCGGGTTCGATCCGAGCTGGGGGCCATGCGCCTTGCGTTGGTTTCGACAGTGGTATCAGGGAGCCGACCGTCGAGAGGGAATGGCAAACTATTGGACGTAAATTTGCCTAGAGAAACCACACCACAGCCAGGGGCTGGTGGGGTTGGTTCTGCAACGTCCTGTAAAGGATGCGCAACTAACCTTAACTACTGCTACTGTTGCTATTACTACTATTGTTACAACTACTACTGCTGCTACTACTACCGCTACTGCTATTACTGCTTCTGCTGCTACTACTTCTTCTATTACTTCTCCTAACACTACTATGACCACCATCACCACTAATACTATTGCTACTACTACTACCACCGTCGACGTCTGTGGCTTAGGCGTTGCGAACGCGCTTTGTAATGCCGAGGTGCCGGGTTCGACCCTAGCTGCGAGCCTTGTGCCTTGCGTTGGTTTCGACAGTGGTATCGAAAAGCCGACCATCCAGAAAGCAATGGCAAACTACAGAGCATAAATTCCTCCAGAAAAACCACAAAAGCAAAAAAAAAAAAAAAATGCTGTGGTTGGTTCTGCAATGTCCTATACAGGATACGCAACCAGCAAGCATATCTACTAGCACCATTTTTATTACTGCTGCTGCTGCTACTACTACTACTACTACTACAGATACTCTTCTGTGCTTGACGCCAGACTTGCCAATAATAGTTTTTTTTTTTTTTCTTGATCAATAATTATGCGAGAAAAAAAATGTTTTTTTATAACACAAAGCTGCCTCTTCGGGGATGCTGTTTGAGCCAAAGGATTTTTTCGCGCAAAACTACCACCACTACCAACTTCCAGACAGGTTTTCATAAATATGTTACTTGCTTTTGATTCTTTTCCATATAGGGGTACATGACCACCTGCGGTAGTGCACCGAGATCAAAGGTCATTCTACTCAAGCAAGACCTATACTTCTATGAGGTACAGTATTTCTAGAAAGGGATTCCCTGCCGTTTTTTTTGGGGGGGGGGGGGGGGGGGGAGGGGGGGGGGGGGGGATTTAACCAACGCAAAAAGGATCGAATTTTCCCTTCGAATTCGGAGATGCGTGGGAAGACCATACTCTACTCGGGAAAAATATACTGGTGAACATACACACGGAGCAGCACTAATGCTAACTATTTTGAAAGATATATTTTGTAAATGACTGCATTGTTGCTTATTAAAAATTAGTGATTAGAAAGGATTATCATCACAGCACTTCGGACAGATCCAAAGGTGCTCCAATCTCCTCCTCAAAAGCTCCACAAGTGTAAAACGACTGATGACGCCTGTTCTGTGTTGGTTAATGAAACATCTTGTCCTCTTAATGAAATGTTCACTTCTTTCAGCTCCAGGCTGCACCTTAACGTCCATGTTGCTTATTGCTACACAGTACACGGATTCAGAAAACTTTTTGAAGCTACCTCAAATATATATATATATGTGTGTGTGTGTGTGTGCGTGTGTGTGTGTGTGTGTCGTGTGGCATTCGGAGATGCTGTGCGGGGAAGATAATGGGGCCGGATCAGGAACTGTCTCAAAAACAGCATTAGGTGCCATTGCAGCTGATTTTCTTTTGTGGAGACAGCACGCAGTAAATGAATGACTTCAGTCGAGTACGACTATGTTACGTCCTGCAATCCTGCACGGGTCCGGATGTCGTTTATTCGGTCGTCGTATGGTTTGTCTGTCTATTAACAGGGACTAACTTATGGTAGGCATTTAATAATACCATTTGCCTGTTTTTATCCATCTAATTTTTTTTTCTTTGGGTGGTAATTAAATGGCGTTGTGCTTGTTTACAGCGGATCAGTCATTTCTGAGCCTTTTCCCCGTCTAGCTGATTAATAATTCACCAACTGGCCATGATTCACTCCCGGTTATCATGACAGGATTTGTATAGTTTTTAAGAATTATTTTTTTTCTAATCTCAGCTGACAAAGAAAGTAAAAAGTTAAAAAAAAAGTAAAGATCCCTTTTTACGCCCTAGGAATATAGGGCATATGGAACGAGCGCCCATATTTTTACAGACCAATCGGCACTAGGTGGGTAATGTGGTCAGCATTGCACCGGCCGTCTTTACTTCCCGAGGACATCCATCCTGGTACCCATTTAAGGCTGGGTCGACCTGCTACGCCCCATACCATGATAAAAATTCACGCAGCCAGCAGTGGGTTTCGATCGCGGTATGTTGGAATTACGGGTCCGACTCGCAACGCCTAAGCCACGGACGCCGCTTGACAAAGAAAGACTGCATACACTATTCTTCATTTTGTAATATGATGCCTTTGCTTGAGTTCATCTACATGTACCAACCTGATGTTATCAGGGTACCCAAGTACTTAAACATATCAGCTTGCTTGAGGTTTGTCCCATTTACTTTGCAGTTGCATTTTGAAGGGTCAGTTTTCTTTGTGATCAATATTACCTGACTGACTGACTTTCTACCCCACCAGGACATCACACAAACGATAAACACCCGATGACACAATGTTCCACCATGTGGATGAGGATCACCCGTGGAGAGGTCCCAGAAACCGCGTTCAGCCATTAGACCATAATTATGGCCTGGCTATATTGCTACAACAGATTGCAACGAACCGCCATGCATGGAGAGTCATGACCTCTGCCCTATGTGCCGCACTCGACACAAGAGGAAAGACTAACTAACTAACTAACTAACTAACTAACTATATTGCGGCCCCCGGCAAGAGTCAGGGTGGGGCTTCAAATAACGAAAAATGTCATCCTAAAAAGGACGGTGAATGAATATTAAAACCATTACCTGACTGAGGGCTGACTTTCTACCCCCACCAGGACATCACACAAGCGACAAACACCCGACGACACAAAGTGCCACCATGCGGATGAGGATCGCCGTGGAGAGGTCCCAGAAACCGCGTTCAGACACCCGGCCACATGTATGGCCCGCCCACATTGCGGCCCCTGGCAGAAGCCAGAGTAGGGCTTCAAATGACGAAAAATTTCGTCCTTGAAAGGACGAAATTGAAAATAATAACGAACCATTACCTGACTGACTGACTTTCTACCCCACCAGGACATCACACAAGCGATAGACACCCGATGACACAAAGTGCCACCATTCGGATGAGGATCGCCGTGGAGAGGTCCCAGAAACCGCGTTCAGACATTTGGCCGTTTGTATGGCCTGCCTATATTGCGGCCCCTGGCATAAGCCAGAGTAGGGCTTCAAATGACAAAAAATTTCGTCCTAAAAAGGACGAAACTGCTAAAAGGTAACCATTACCTTTGTTTTTCTGCTGTTTAAACTAAGACACTGCTTTGACTTTCCGGTACCAATATGTCCATTATTTCTGGCAGTTGTGTTTCATTTTCATCGATCAAAACTATAATGTCAGCATATCGCAGGTTGTTAACAATATGCCCACAAAACGATATTTGTGGCTTACCAAGTATGGGTCTAATTATCATTTAACTGTACAAATTGAAGAAATCCGGTGATAGTTCACATGCCTCCGTGTAGGGCCATTAAAAGCTTTTTTTCAAGGGAAACAATGCAAAAAAAAAAAAAAATGTTAACAAAATGAATAGCGAAGTTTCAATTACTTTCGCTTTAAAGTGAGAGCGCATAATTGATAGGTCGGACGACTGCGTCGGATCATCATCGGCGACCGGTTTCCCACTGGCTCACCGGCAGACGACTTCGTCGGGGTTGGGACATTATTTAGGTTTGTCTTCTTTGATCGCATCTGCACGGCAGAAGTCCTTGGTTCTTTTCTGTTTAGCGGCCACATTATTCGAGATTAAGGGACATTTAGGGGTTAAGGTTAGTATTAAATGAATGGCGACTACTACTAACCCTAACCCCTTTATAATACGGGATTTCCCTAAATCTCGCGTGATGTGGTCGCTAAACAGAAAAAAACCGAGTCCTTTTCATGGCTCTTAGTGACATGCAATGCTAAGCGATTTTATTTGGCGCACATAACCTCGTCACAATTAAAACCTAAAGCTCCCCCTTCGGGGATGCTGGTTGAATGTGACGATGATTTATTTGCCTCTGAGAACTTGGAAATATCCAGTGTGCAGTGGCGTCGATTGTGATAACGT